AAAGGCAAAAACTTTCTCAGACATCTCTCAATTTGGTCTTTCAGATATTAAGAAGACCTCGAAGATTGATGGAAGGTTTACTAATCTTAAAGTAAAGGAGTTTTCTTCTGTATGTACTATTACAGAGGATGGTGGTATTTTAGCAGAAAAAACTATGTCAGAAACAGAGGAACAAAAAGAAAATTACAGCTGTTACAGTTAGAGAGCGTCTACGTGAGGCTAAGATGTCTCCGAGAATGTATTTCCGTCGTACTATGATTTCTTATAAGCAGATAGTACGTCAGATTGGTCCAGATAAATTAAAGGCAGATCCGGAAACAGAAAAAATTCTAAAGTCTTTATTTGCTTCTGATATTCTTTGGGTTTTACAACAGATTCAAAGTCAGATTATAGAAGGAAAGCAGATTAATACGCTTCTTGGTTGCTCTAGTGTATCTAAGAATTGTAGAGAAGCTGCTCAGAAACTTCAATTACCGTTTAGAATGGCTATGACAGAGGCTAAGAAGCAGGGTTTTGTAACTAAGATGCGTTATCAAAAACTTCAATCTTCATACATTGACTTTGTTCATGCTATTATGGATGATGTTTTTGGAAGTGGTATAAATAATGATATCCCAGAAGATTCAGAGGAAGAGGAGAAATAATTATGGAAAGAATTAAGTTATTTTCAAAGCCTTCAGAGACTAAGGAGAGAATTAAATTATTTTCCACTCCTACTCCGAAGAGAATTAAGTTATTTTCTGAGCCTGAAAAAGAACAAGTAGAGGAGAATAAGAAAGAAGTAGTATGCCTTGATTGTGGACATAAATTTCTAACTGCTGAGAATGTATCAAAAGTATTCTGCCCTAAATGTGGTGGACGATATGTTGTAGTAGCTGATGAAATTTCTGCTCCCCTAGACTTAGAAGAATCTTGTTACTCAGAGGCTTTTTCAGAATATTCAGGTAAAGTTATATCAGAGAAGAAATTTTCAGAAGTATTTCCTGGCCTAGACATGTTAGATCTAGAGGAAAGAGGTTATGGTGAAACATGTGAAAACGGATTTAAAGTGGCTTCAGAGTCTTCTTTATGTGATAAGATGTTCTCAAAACTGACTATCACTATTACAAAAGAATTAGACTTAGATCCCGCTATTTGTTGTCATGGTACTTGTAATCATTCAGGAATTATTGAAGAAATTTCACCGAGACTACCTGAAAAAAGTATAGTATTATTAAAGAAAATTCATGGACTTTTACCAGATTCTAATGAGTGGGTAAAAGATTCTAGAATTTGTGATGATATAAGATGTGAATTTGGAGGTTCTTCTAAAGATCTAGGAGAATTTAAGAATGAACTAGAAATGAGATATCCAGATGCTCCAGAAGATGTTATTGAGATCTTAAAGCGTCATGGTGTTATCAAAGAGGATAATAACAAAATAGAAATATTAAAATAAAGTATGATTAATACACGTTTAATGGACCGTCTCTTCTCTGCTACTGAAGAAGAGAATGAACAGATCACCGAGCAAGTAGGTGCAGATATTGAGGCTGCCCGTCGTGATGGTGAAGTAGATACTGAAGAACTAAAGTATGAGAACGCAGGTGATGGTAAGGTAGCTATTACTGATAAAGAGAATGGTGAAGTTACTATTGCAGAGCGTAATGAAGATGGCTCATATGCATTATATCCTGGTGATGTTACCGCGCAGATCGAGGGCTTTATCCACCCGGAAGGGGATGGTGTAACTCCTGGCCAGCAAGTTGGAACTCCCGATGAGCATGCAGAAGAGCACTTAGATGGTAGAGAGATTTCAGATGAAGTTCTCGCAGAGGAAGTTTGTCCAATGTGTGGTAAGACTCCTTGTGAGTGTGAGAAGGAAGGTGAAAAGGAATTCTCTGTAACCACTGATAATACTGTAGTTCAAAAGATATTCTCTGATCAAATGTTTTATGATCGTCTTTTCTCTGAGGTTATTGAATCAGAAGAGACTGCAAAGGTTGGAGATATTAAAGTAGAAAAAGACCCTGAAGATGAAAATGCTGTTATTGTAACTTCAGAGTCTACTGGTGATCAAGCAAAGGTTGTTCTTGATGATGATACCATGGAAGTAACTGAGCTTGAATCTAAGAATTTTTCAGAATCATTTGAGGGACTTCATGTAGTAGGTCTTGATATGATCAACCATCAGCTAATTGATTCTACTGTATATTCTGAGGAAGCTGCAGAGGATCTAGTAGCACGTTTACAAGAAGTTGGTATCATGGGTATTGCTGTATTTGATAATGCAGAAGAGGCTCGTGATCATGCATTTGAGCTTTTTGATCAGCTTGGTGTAGAGAAAGAGGAGGATATCGATGAACCGGAAGAGGTTGAATTCTCTGACTATTCTGTTTATTGCACTAAGTTCTATTCAGAGACTGCAGAAAATATGACTTCTTATATGGTACGTCTTTTCTCTGAGGAGGCTGAATCTGAGGAAATTGAAAAGGCTATCGAGAATGGTGAGCAGATAGAGAATGATACTGAAATTATTACTCCTATTGATGAGCATGTAGCTATCATTGAGGATAAGGAGAATGGTGAGTTTACCAAGGCTGTAATGGACGAAGAGAAACTTGACATTAATCCTATTTCAGAAGATGAGGCAAATGAGCTCTTAGAGGATGTAGAAATTGAGGAAGAGGAGGAAGAGGATGAAAAAGAATTCTCAGTATATACAAATGATGCTGAAACTCGATTCTTCTCTGAAAATGAGGTTATGACTTCCTACATGGTTCGTCTTTTCTCTGAGGATGCTGATCAAGAGTTAATTGAGAATGCACTTGAGTCTGGTGAAGTTGTAGATACTGAGATGGAGGTTATTACTCCTATTGATGATCATACTGCTATCATTGAGGATAAGGAGAATGGTGAATTTACTAAGGCAGAGTTAATGGATGATGAGTATATGGACGTACAGCCTATGGATGATGAGGCTGCTAAAGAGGCCATTGAAAATCTTGCTGCAGAAGCACATGAGCCTGAAGTAAAGGAAGAGGAAGTAAAAGAGGAAGAGCCTGCTAAGGAGGAAGAGAAAGAAGAGGAAAAAGAGTATAGCACACTTGATAGATGGTTTGCTGATACTATAGTTGCTCCTGTTCAAGCTGCTCCTCAGGCACAGGTAGTAGCTGCTCCTGCTCAGGGTGAAGTTGTAGAAGAGCCTGTTGATACTGTAGAAGCAATTGAGGATAAAGCTCTTGCTGCTGTACAATCTATTAAGGCTGCTGCTGAAGAGGCATCTGCTGCTATCTTAAATGCTAAGGCTGCTCCTGTTGAGAATACCGAGGCTGACCTTCAAGAGGCACAGTTCTCAGAAAAAACTTTCAGTGATACCACACTTGTTTCTTGGTTAACTGGAAATTCAAACTTTTAATTTAATTAAATAAATACTATAATATTATGGCAAATTTTATTGATGCTATGCAGACCCGTGAGATGATGTCTGCTCTTACTAATAGCTCAGTTTCAGCTGAGGATGCACGTATTCGTCTTCGTGAATATTCGAAGATGTTCTCTCGTAATGAGGAAATGAAACAGGAGTTTGGCCTAAATGGTAACCTCCTTCAGAAGACCTTCTCTGGCTATTCAGAGACCCCACTTTTGAGCAACCAGTATTTTAATGCTTCTGTTGCTTCTTATGTAAGCTCATTCGCTGGCTTTATGTCAATCGAGCGTGACTTCGAGCAGCCAAACGGTTTGTTCTATTGGTTTGACGTTCTCGGCGTATCTGATTATCGTACTGTAGTTCCTAACCTTGGTGCTGATGAACTCGGTAAGGTTCAGACTCTTGCTGACGTTAAGGTAGAGCTTGCTTCTGCTACTGCTCAGACCGCTGCTACTGGTCGTAAGCTTATCCCTGGTACCGTTCGTGCTCGTGTTATGAACGATGGTAAGGTAGCTTTCGAGCTTGTTGATAATGGTCAGGGTGAATTCCTTGCTCCTGCTGGTAAGATCTCTGCTTCTGAGATTAATTATGTATCTGGTGCTATCAGCTTTACTCTTGTTGAGGCTGCTGCTGTTGTTATCGTAGCTAAAGAGGATACCACTGGTGTTCCTTGTGGCCGTGATGGTGGTGTTCAGAAGCATCAGGACACCAAGCGTTTCATCGCTAAGATGCAGCAAATTGGTCTTAAGACTGTACCTGATATGCTTGTTGCTGAGTACAATATCGCATCTCTTGGTGCTATGAAGAAGGCTACTGGTACCGATATGGCTACCTTCCTCTTCGGTAAGCTTCGTGAGCTTTACACCAAGTGTATCAACTATAAGCTCGTTTCAATGCTTGAGCAGAGCTATGAAGGAAATACCCTAGATGACCTTAACCTCAGCCAGTCTGCAATGAAGACCGAGTTTACTGATTATCGTTCAAGAGTAGACCTCTTCGACGCTTATCTTGTAAACGTTGAGAATGCTCTTGCTAAGAAAGCTGTTAAGGGTGTTAAGACCACCGCTTATGTTGCTGGTGCTAACGCTGCTACTCAGTTCCAGAAGGGTTCTGTAATTGGTAAGTGGGAGAAGAATACTAAGATGACTTATATCAACGATCTTCTTGGTTGGTATGATGGAATTCCTGTACTTCGTTCTACTGATATTGATGAGGATGATGATGCAGGTGTATTCTACGCTATCCACAAGACCTTCGATGGTCAGATGGCACCTCTCGCACGTGGTATTTATATGCCTCTAACCGATACCCCAACTATCGGTAACTATAACAACCCGACTCAAATGGCTTCTGGTATTTATTATCAGGAAGGTATCGGTGCACTTGCTCCTGAGCTTGTACAGCGTGTACGTTTTGCTATTGGTCAATAATATTCTTTAGACTCTAGTTCGAATAGAATAATATGCTTTATTGGAGGAATATCTTTGACGATCTCTTAGTAGGTCTCGAAGGTATTCCTCCTTCCTTTTTAAATATTTTTAGATATGACTACATATACATTAAAAGAAAGACCTATTCTGATCAGGAAGGTATGGGTACAGGTTCTAAATTAGCTACTGGTGCTGCCGTTACTGCTGGTACTGTAGGAGCTCTTGGTACTGCTGCTTATGGCGGACAACTTGGTGCTAATGCTCAGAAATTTGTTGCTGGAAATGTTGCTAAAGCTGCAAATAAAGCTGGTGAATTTATGGCCAATAAAGGAATTAATGCAGGTTTTGGTAAAGTAGCAAATATAGCGGCTAATGCTACCAAGAAAACAAATATGGCAAATAGAGCTTTAAACATAGCTAAATTAATGAAGAAATAATGATAAATAAAGTAATTTATAAAGGACTCAAGCTTCAAACAGATTGTCGATATTATAAATTTATTGAGGGTCCATATAGAGCTTATCCTGATAAATCTACATCTACATATATCGTCTCATTTCCAAAGGGCTCTACTAATTATGAGGCTTCTAAAATATTAGGTTTACCATGTGTAGGAAAGCCTCAGATCTTAGAGCCCACAGGAACAGCGAGACGATTTAAAGATGTTATAATTAGCTTGAATGGTTTACGTTTAAGAAAATTAACATCGGACTCTCATACAATAAATCTGATTATAGTATGTGATTCAGATTCTCGTGTAGTACAAACTTATGATTATACTACTATTGTTGTGTCTCAAGAGGATTATAAAGATGAGAACTTTATAAATTACTTATTTTATACACAAAACCTATTATACTTAGAACCTTATGGGCCAAAACCAAAAGGATGGGAGATAAGAAATTTCCCAAAGATAATAATAGGAGATTCTTCTAAGACACTAGAATCTGAATCCCAAGAAATCTATAATCTTAGAAGAAGATATAATGATTATGTTATCCGAGAGATTGATTATCAGGATCAATTTATTTTAGAAATGAGAAGAATCTTGGATAATTATGGGATAGAATTAGTTAGAATCAATAAGGAAGAAACATTAAAACTTCCATCATATATAACTTATCAATTCAATCAGACTCCAACAAGATATCATCATCCTAATTGTGAAGATCTTGAGAATAGAATAATGCAGATGAGATTACCAGTTGATTTTGTATTACACACTAAAGATATGGTATTATTTTTTGATTTTAAGAATAAGTATAATAATCTTGATATCTTAACTAATTTTTGTGAATTTAAAGCTCCGGATAAATATGGTGATAGATGGACGGCTGCTATAAAATGGAGTCCTATAACAGAAGATTTTAATCATATTTATCAGACAGATGATAATTCTAACTATGCTTTTCAATGTCAGTTTAGGTGTGAATTATTTTTCTATGAAGTTTTAGATGATCGATATAAATTTTTAGAAGAGATTGATATAAATTTAAATGAATTAGGCTCATGATTCAATTTACACGAAAAAAAGTTACTAAACTAGATTTAATGCCTAAGATGAAAGATTACTTAGAGCATGAAGGTTTAGAATTTGAGATTATTTCCGACAAGGATTCAAAGAAAGTATCAGGGACTAATTCAAAGTCTGTGGTACTAAAGAGTTTTATGAGAACAGAAGATGGATATTTTCAGATTAAGCTTCAAGATAAAGAATTATATAGTTATACTCAGAAGCAAATGACAAGTATATTTCATCTTCGTATTGTTGATATTAATGAAGAGGATCATATAGTAACTGCAGAAACTGATTATGAAGGTAGAGCATTACATTATATTGAGTCTCTTGCTTTAAATCCAAAATATTCATTATACCTTGTAGAATCAAAATGATAAGATTTTTACAAAAAGGATTCTCAGAGGCAGATGCAATGAGAAGTTTATGGAGAGAGTTACAAAGAAGAAGTAATGGAGATCCTAGAAGACTACCAAAAATTATAGAATCTCAAACATCTCTTATACCTATTTTACGAGGAAATAATGTTGTTATAGAAAAGTTTGTTATATCTAAATCTCTAGGACAAGAGAATTTTAGATTATATCTTAGAGTTGGTGCTAAATGTAAATTACCAGAAAATTTCTTACTTCCATCAAGAAAAGAAGAAAGAACCGCTTTTGGTAATCTTAGGTTTGCTAAAATAGGTGGTGGTAGAGATAATAATTCTCAGCCACAACAAAAGAATAATTCTGAGATAGGAACTTTTACTAGATTTGTTCAAAAAGAATTTGATAATAATAAAGGTGATAAAGGTGGCAATGGAATAGATTTGTCAATACGATATGAAAGACAAGAAAGAAAAGGTCATGTAGTACGTTATGATAAATCTCAAAGACAGGTAGTTCTAGAATTTGATACGATTCAGAATGCTATAGATTGTCTTGATATATTACCTTTCGGATTAGATTATAACCTATATATTCTAGGTTTGAGATGATATTAAAAAGAAAATTATATGCTCGTATTCTAAACACAAGAGGTATTTCAGGATTTCAGAGAGAACGAAATTATGATGAGGATATGAATAGGCTTGGTAGATTAAAAACACAAAGACAACTTCATACTGGGGTCAACGAACTGAATAGTGAAATACGAAAGTTAGGAAATGAGTTAAATAATGGTAGATTAGGAAAATGGCAACATATAGATTAAAAAGAAAGCGTTTTGGTTTTTTAGGAACGGTTGCTGGTAATGTAACTGAAGGTGCTGGAAAACTATTAGATAATCCAATAGCAGGTACAGTTGGTGCATTTAAGGGTGGATCTCTTGGAGCAACCATAGGATCTGCTTTTGGACCGCTTGGAACAGTTGCTGGTGCTGTTGCTGGTTCTGTCCTTGGTAATAAGTTAATAAAAGGTACAGGTCAAGCATTAAAGGATACTGGTAATGACATGAAGATATGATAAGATTTATTCAAAAAGAGTTCTGGATTGGTGCTGCTTTAAATGCTGTTGGTGTTGCTGGTACTGTTGGTAGTTTAGTACAGGGTCATAACCAGCAAAAACAAGAAGCAGATTTACAGCGTCAACAATTAAAAGAACAAAAAAGGATTGCAGAGGAACAGGCAAAACAACAAAAGCAACTTATATCTGCCATTAACAATAATACTGCAAACAATGGTGGAGTAGGTAGTATTCTTCAAAAATCATTCGCACTAGGTAATACTGTAAAAGGTGTAATTGGTATAGCTAAAGATCTTCAAAAACAACATAATATAGTTGGTAAAGTAGGCAAAATGGCTATATCTGGTGCTGCTATGGGTGGGTTAGCCTATGGTGCAGATAAAATTATACAACACCAAGAAAAGAAAGATGGTAATGTTATTGAAAATACTCCTGAGCAGAAAAAGAAAAATGGTAGAACTTTATTAACTGGAGCAGCATTAGCCACAACTGCAGTCTTGGCACATAAGGGGCATCTTGGTAAAACTGCACAAAACTTATCAAAATCTGTAGTTTCTGGTGCTAAATATGTAGGTAAAAATATAAAGAATGCCTATGGTACTGAAATTAGAGAGAATGCTATAAAGTCTGCTAGAAGTGATGCAGCTAATACTATAAGAGAGGCTAGAAGAATTGGTGATCCTACAAAATTAGCAGAAGGATTAGCTAAGAGTAAACAGGCAAAAGAATTAGCTAAGAAACCGCTAAATTATACTAAATCTAATTTTGCAAAAGATCTAGTAAAAGAAGTAGCTAGTCCTATGAATCTTGCCTTTGGTGCAGGTATTCCTTTAGCTACTTATGCTTCACAGAAAAAAGCAGAAAAGGATCAACAAGAAGCAACAAAAACCTATTCTATAAATATAAAAGCTGCTGGAAAAGGTGTATTGGGATTCTTAAATGGTGGAGTTACTTCTAAGGGTGTAAAAAGCTTAGGAAATACTATAGCTAAACATGGAGCAGCTAATAATTCTAGTATTTTACAAACTACTGGAAAATTTTTACAGAATGATAAAGTTGCTAAATTAGTTCCTGTTGCTGCTATAGGTACTGGTGCTACCGTTGCTTTTGCTCCTTGGTCTTTAGGTGAGAAAGCTGCTAAGAAAGTTGCTGGTGCGGTTGATAAGAATGCTTTTGCCTATGAAAATCAGCAAAATAAGCAAATACAATAATGATTATATTTAAATTAAAAGAATTCACCCGTTATGATGAGACTGATGCTATAAAACGGATGAAGGACTCAGATATATTAGCAGAAGAGAAAAAGAGGGCACCTAGTTTTGTTCCTGCTGTTTCTACTGCTGCTGGTGGTGCTGCTTTAGGTGGTGCTGCTCTGGGAGGTATTAAATTTGTTAATGGTATAAGAAAATCTGGAGTTAAAGCTGGATTTAAGGCCGGAGCAAAAGGATTAGGTAGAGGTGCCGTTGCTGGTGCTGCTATTGGTCTTGCTGTTGGTCTTCATAATAGATCTAAAGAAGCTGAAGATACAGAATTCTATAATCGTCGTTTAGCACAAGCCCAGAAACAAGCACGACGTAGAGAAGCAGCTGATTGGAAAAATAATATATCCAATAGAGATGGTTATTCTTATTAATTATGGCAAAGTTTAAATTAAAAGATACAGCTGATAAAGTATCTAAAGGAGCTGAAAAAGTAGTTAATAGTACTGCATTTAAAATTGCTACTCCAGTTATTTCTGTTGGTACTACAGCAATTGGTGTAGGTTCTAGAAAAAAATCTCTAAAGGAACAACAAAGAATGCATGAAGAAAAGATGGAAAAACTAGATAAGCTTGAAGATAAGAAAAAGAGAAGAGTTATTTCAAAATTATTATCTGAAACAGCTGAATCTAGTATATTTTATGATAGTGAACAGCCATCTTTAAACATATCTGAAGTAGTAGAATCATATAACTCAGATTCAAATAATCAAGATAAAATTTCTTATACAAATAATATAAATGGAGAGGAATTTAATCTTTATTATGATAGATCTGTATTAACTCTATTTATAACAAACAAAGATTTACTTCCAAAACTAGCTCAAATTTTAGGTAATTGGTGTAGAAAAAATTCATCTTCTTATACAGGTGAAGCAAAAGATAATGGATATGTATTTGAAATTTCTGTAAACAAAGATCAAATATCAGGATTATTAAAAGAATTATCTGAAGTACATCAATTAAACTTAATAAATAAAATATCGTTTAAACCAAAGGAATTCTCTTTACTTACTGACATAGAACGTGGTGCTGTAAATGGTGCTAAAGTAGGTGGATCTTTAGGTACTCTTGTTGGTGGTGTTGCAGGTGGAATGTCACAGAAACAGGGAGTAAAGATTAAAGATAGATTCATTAAGTTTGGGAATTTAGGTCTTCTTGGAGGTATTTCTGGTACTATTCTTGGTGCTTCTCTTGGTGCTGTTTGTGGCGCTATAAAGGGTATATCAAAGAGAAATGAGACTAGGAATACGGTATTTTCTAGATTAGATGAGCAAGTAGTTATTGATCTTAAGAAGTCTGGTTATAAAGAAGGTAGTGATTTTACAAGAGATCCTAAAACTGCAGATAGATTAAGAACAAAAGTATCAATCGTAATATCGAAAGAGTCAGGTGAGCTTAGAATATTAGTTAATACAATAAATGATTCTAAATTACGAGAACTACTTGGGGATATGATAAAGAAACTTCCATCTTCTGCATATACTTCAAAAAATGTTTCTGATAGATTTAATGATTTAACAATTTCGATAATTTCAGATTCCTCAGCAGATTCTGGACTTGTATGTGGAATTATAGATAGATTTATACATGCAGGATATCCAGTTTATCTAGTAGGAGCTGACTTGTAACAAAATAAATAAAATAATTATAATATTAATATGGCACAATGGACTGAAACTCTAGAACCGTATATTAAAGTTACGGAAAGAGTAAAAACAATGGCCCTCAATCCTACTGTTGGTGAGGATTTGATTATCGGTGTAGTTCTAATTTCTGATGCAGGTCCAAGTACTCCTACCTTGATTAGTGGTCAATCCGCTTTAATGGAGTATTTTGCTTCACAGGAAATGTCAGAAAAGTATATAAAGTCTTTAAACAACTTATATCTTGGTGACAATAAAGATTTAGCTGCTACTATGTGGGCTAATGCATATCGTCTCGCTGGATCTAACACCCTTCTTGTATCACGTGCAATCAAGGCTTCTGGAATTTATTTTTCTAAGCCTTTATCAACTAGCACGTCTACTTTGGGTGATTATATATTACGAGACGGAAATCTACTTAAAAAGGTAGAAAAATTTTGGTTAATACTTGATTCCAGTGCAGCAACCAATCCAGGAAATGATAACTATGGCTGGAATATTGCAATTAATGGTGTTGGTGTATTTGGTAATCGTATGACAGATGAGGGTTCAAGATATGATTATTATGTATCTAACCTTCCTGAATTAGTAGACCAGCTTAATGATGTTTCAACTTTCTATGCACCTGATGTAGAATATTATACCTCTCTTGATGCTCATAATGGTGAAGATGGTACTACTGCAACTAGAGTAACTGGTGAAATTACTGATGCTATTGCTGGAAATATAAGTGCAGTATACTTCAAAGAGGTTTATTTAGGTGTAGATTTCCTTGATAAGACTAATATTTTTACTTTAAAGGAAACTACTAATAATGGCTATATCAACATTATCCCTAAGACAGATAATTCAGGTCAGCCTTCTTCTACAACTGCTGATTTAAATGGTTCTGCTTTCTCTGGATTTACTGCACCGAACTATTATGCTATGAATGCTAATAACTCTGCATCTACATTAAAAGTTCGTATTCGTAGATTTAATCATGATGTAGTAATTTCAAAGACTTTATCTGAGCAGACAAATTTAACAGCTAATGGTGAGTCTCCTTGGATTGTTCTCAGTGATTTAGATAGTGAAACATCAGATCATGGTAAAGATTTCTATGAGGTAGCTATTCTTGATCCTACTATTTCTAAAGCAGTATCATTCTTTAATCTTGGTTCAGTATCTGGATTAGGTGACATGGAAATATCAGAGCTTAATGATATGTTGAAAATGATTAAGCTTCAATTACCAGACGATCTTGATAATCTTGGTCTTGATTATTATAAGAAGAATCCGGCTGAAGCTGATGCAGATACTATTTTTGCTGATTTAACCATTAATACAGCTTCTAGTAAGATTATTTCTGTATCTGATGCTGACCTAAAGAAAGCACTTGATCGTATTGTTGAGGATGAGGTATATATTACTGAAGGTTTATCTGACCTTGGTAATACTGAACCTTCTTTCCAAAACTACATGGCTAATACTGCAGTAAATGATAACTATTACTATCCAATGTCTACGGTTAATTCTACTAACTATATGGTAATTGGTAATAGTTCTAATAAGATTTCTCAGGATTCATACAAGCTTTATATGTCAGCTCCTTGGGATATTGATACTGGAACGATTGGTTGGAAGTATTATGCAAGTCCTAGTGTAATCTACTGGGAAGGTGTAGCTAGAAACCGTAGAAATAATGAGGAATTTGCTAGTAACTTAGGTCAGGATTATGGTGTACGCATGTATCAACGTCCTACATGTGAATTCAATAGAAAGCAGCGTCAACTCTTGTTATCTAAGAAAATTAATACTGTTTCTTGGAATATTAGTACTCAGGCATGGAATATGAATGATAACTATACCAAGCAAAGTCAGGATAATATTCTTATGGATGACGGTAACGCTCGTCTTCATACTCATATCTCAAAGTGTATTCCTGCTCTTCTTCGTCAGTTTATTGGTAAGAAGATTACAGAGAAGCTTTGTGATAATATTTATGGGGTAATTGACTATTGGTTTAAGACAGCTATTCTAAGCCTTGGTGTTACTGTAGATGCATATCAGATTTTTGTACCTTATGATGAAGCTTTAGCACGTCAAAGTAAGGTTAGAGTTATAGTAAACTGTAGATATCAGCGTGCTCTTAAGTTCATAGACGTTATTAATAATGCCTTTGATCTTGGTATGGATATTAGCAGCATGGAATAAATAGATATGATTGATAGTGAGGAGTAGTATTTTGAAATATAGATACTGCTTTCTCATTATCGCATTTTAATAATTGATTTTAAAATGGAAAAGACCTTATTGACTGACCTAAAGAAGAAGATGTTCATTAGGTCTTCTCTTATAGCCATTAACAGTCTTGATGAATTACTAGGACTTAATGACTATTTATCTCCAGATGAAATTCTTCTTGAGATAATAAAAAAGGCTTTACGTGAATTTGAATTAACATTACCTCTTATCCTGGAAATGAGAATGAATAGAAATCAAATGGGTACTTGTTATGGTATGCCTGGATTCTATGAAATTAAATCAAACTTCACTTGTTGGTTAAATTGTATATTACCAGATGAATCATATATTATCCTAGTTCCTCAAAGTACACCTATGTGGAGAATTGGAAGTCAGAATTCATTTCCAGTTGCAGGAGCTTATAATTATGTTTCAGAATATAGAAAACCCTACGTCTTTCTAGGTGATATACCAGATATGTCAGAGATATTTATAAAAGGTATTTGTGCAAGACCAATTGTTCCTGATTGGTTACCTTCAAAAGAATTTAATCCAAAATCAGAAAAAGCTGCTATTTATTGGATGAATGTAGAAGAGGGTGCGGATGGTACTTATTTTATGGATCTTTGTATGGTTCATTTACTCGATTATTTACGACAATTAAAAGCATCGATATCACTTCCTGGTTTACCTGTTGATTTTATGTCAAACTTAGATTCAGCATACATGGAATTAAGAGCTAGATGTGATAATTATGCACTTCAATCAGGTTGGAAAGCTCAATTAGTACTATGATTACATTTAGAAATAAGAATTATTCAAGTGCAACAGCTAAAACTAGTTATGTTTTACAAAGGGGTGCACAAAGATTAGGAACTGCTATGAAATCTGGAATGCTAAGATTAAGTCAAGCAGGAAAAGATATAGTAGGAAAAGGACAATTAGGAGATCAATTAGCAAATAAAGCAGTTTTAGGAACACCAAAAAATACTGTTAGTTTAAAAAGAAAAGCAGTACAACATGGGCAATTAGTTAGATCTATAAAGTACGCTACACCTGGAGAAAATTTAAAAAAAGGTGCTAGTATTATTGCAAAAAATCCTGTTGGTTCTTTAACATATGCTGCTACTGCTATGGCTCCAGTTCCAAGTGCTATGATTGCTCCTATGGCTGAACGTGCTGCTACTAGAATTCCTGGTTATGCTAAATTAGCTAAAGCAACAGGAGATCTAGTAACAAATGGTGTAATTGGTGATGCAATACAGCAGGGTGGTGATATGTTAGTAAAATATTTATCTTAATATTATGATAAAGTTTAAACAAAAAGATTTTTCCTTAGAAGAAGGTCATTATACCGGACCTAAGGATCAAGATAAAATGCCTGGAGCTATAGAAGTAATAACTAAATCCGCTATGGCTGGTGCTCTTGCTGGTAGTGCCGTAGGTTCATTACTTAAAGACTCTACTGCAATAGAAGGTGCAATAGAAGGTGGAAAATGGGGAACTGTAGGAGGTATAATTTTAAAACTTATACTAAACAAACTCCATAATCCAATGACAAAAATAAAATATCAAGAAGTAGATAAAAATATTCGTAGAGAATTTGGTATTTATCGTTTATCGGGGATTACTGTTGGAGATTCAATGGAAAAACGAGATAAAGTAGAAGAAGCTTTTGGATTTAATGATAGAAATGTTACTAATTATAAGTTAAATTTTGCTATACAGGATAATAAAATAACCATGTATACTCTAGGTTTAACTGATGAGGAACTTAAAACAGTAAATACTACATTAGATTATTATTGTAAAAAGTATTTTGGTATGGAGTATGGAGTTTGTTTAGTATAAGTTTTAAAATTATACCTCCTACAGTTCCCCATTTTCCACCTTCTATTGCACCTTCTATTGCAGTAGAGTCTTTAAGTAATGAACCTACGGCACTACCAGCAAGAGCACCAGCCATAGCGGATTTAGTTATTACTTCTATAGCTCCAGGCATTTTATCTTGATCCTTAGGTCCGGTATAATGACCTTCTTCTAAGGAAAAATCTTTTTGTTTAAACTTTATCATAATATTAAGATAAATATTTTACTAACATATCACCACCCTGCTGTATTGCATCACCAATTACACCATTTGTTACTAGATCTCCTGTTGCTTTAGCTAATTTAGCATAACCAGGAATTCTAGTAGCAGCACGTTCAGCCATAGGAGCAATCATAGCACTTGGAACTGGAGCCATAGCAGTAGCAGCATATGTTAAAGAACCAACAGGATTTTTTGCAATAATACTAGCACCTTTTTTTAAATTTTCTCCAGGTGTAGCGTACTTTATAGATCTAACTAATTGCCCATGTTGTACTGCTTTTCTTTTTAAACTAACAGTATTTTTTGGTGTTCCTAAAACTGCTTTATTTGCTAATTGATCTCCTAATTGTCCTTTTCCTACTATATCTTTTCCTGCTTGACTTAATCTTA